ACTAAAAAAGGAAAAAAGCTTGCTACAAATCAGGGAAATAGTGGTATTTAAAAACTCTAATCCTTTTGCTCCTTGCAAGAAAATAGGATAAACATCTTGATTTTATTCAAAGCTGTCACAGAAAGGTTTTTCTCTTATCTGGAGGCTGCAGCCTTGGCAGCGGGTGAAGAATTAGAGTAGCAGTGGGATTTGGGGTTTAAAGAGCTCAGTGGGATGGTGCAGTGTGGACGCTATAAACAGCGCAAGGCTCCAAATTCTTCTGAAGATGGGGATTCAGTGAATTTATCGGACAGCTCTAGCACACAAAAACCTGAGTTGGGCATGAAAAAAAAGAAATGACCTATCAGAATTGTTCCTGCCCTCAAGGAGCCCAAAATCTGGTATGGCAGCTCAGAAAGGGCAGGATTAGTGAGCCCCATGGAGAAGCCTGGCCCAATGTCCTAAGAGAAGGACAAATAAAGTGCTTTGGGGGTTGGAATAGGTCCCAAACCCCATGCTTTCCTGGAGGCTGGCGAAGACTTCAAGTAGAAGGTGGCACTGGAGATGGACTTTGTAAAAGATACTGGGAGACGCATGCCCAGTGGAAAGAAAGCAGGATCAACAGACTGAAGGTGGAATCGTGAAGAGGAAGTGCGTGGGACCTGGAGCGCACGGTCTGCTCTGCAGGGATAAAGAGAAATAACTGGAGGCGAAGCTGTAAACAGTAGACTTAGAAAAACTACAGAGAGCCCAGAGTTTGGTAGGCAATGAATTATCTGGTAGGGATTTTGATCAAGAAATGGCTTGCTTATATCGGGTTGTACAGCCTAAAGGCCAGTCCAGATGAAAGATAGCATTGATTGCAGAAGGATGATGTCAGAAAGGATGGAGATAAGGAAATGCATGAGAAAAGTCTGCTGATTATATAACCAGCTTGAATGTCCTCCAGTGTCTGATAAAATGAATAGTTTTACTAGCGAACCACTTTCTGGCTGGCCAAGAATTGGTGTTTACTTCTAATTAGATGCTATTTGGAATTACTTATTTAAAATCGATAAAGAACCACTGTGTAAATGCATCTTTGTTTACAGACAGCCAATACTCCAGGGAGAAGGAAGAGAGGCAAAGGGGGAAAGATGTGCAAGATGAGAATTCATCTGTTTCAAGGATGGTTCTTGCTGCTCAAGCTAACGACCCCCGGTGACTCAGTTCCCTCTGCAAGTGATGTGTGGGGGAGAAAGGCCAGGCCGGCAGGGCCTGGGTAATCACTTTGTCCTTGGGCAAATTCCAGGTCACCTCTCTGATGTGCAGCTCAGATTCAACAACACAATAGGAAAATGATACTTACCTGTAGGGTTTCCATATACAATGCTTCCCACCAAGCCTGGCACATAGGAAGTGACTAATCAACAGTATTGAATGCTGTTGAATTACTATCAGGTTCCTCCCACTTTGCCCACATTTACTGAGCACCAGCCAGGCATGCACAGCTCATCTTTGCCCCAGAGTCTTGTGTTTGCTGGTATCCTTCAATGGCATCACATTCCTCCCATCAGCACATGACTGATAGCTCTCCAGCATACTGCCCCAGCTCACAGGGCTGGCTCCGTTCCACGCAGCTTTCCCTGACTACCCCAGATCACGTGCACACCTCAGCCTCATTTCTGTTTTCCATATTCTTTATAGTACCGTACCTAACTTTGTTTAATTCACGTATATATGTTTCCTTGTTAATTTTCCAGCTCCTGATGAGAGAGCAGAGACCTTGTCAGTATTATTTATTGATTAACCTCTAACACAAAGTAGATGTCCCAAAAAATAAATCTGTGATCATTGTAGTGCTGTTGATAAAAGTAAGCTATTTAACAAATAAAAAACTATCTACCATAGAGCAAATACTGAATCATGCTAGGTTCTCACCCTTGGGTGGGTTGGGAGAAGGCTGCTCCAACATGAAGAAAGACAATTTGAAAGAAAAGCAAGAATGGGGACAGTGGCCTCAGGCTGGGCTGGTTGAGTGTCTAAGGTCTAGTTCTCTGTCTGGACACAGCAGATGCTTTGCAGGGGGCTTATGGCTCAGACTGTCATTCTAGGGTGAAAGTTGCAAGACATCGAGCAATTTTTAAAATTTATTGATTTGAGAGGTGGGGAGAGAGAGAGAGAGTTGTTGATTTACTTATTTACACATTCATTGGTTGCCTTGACTGGGGATTGAACCTGTAACTTTGGCATATGCGGACGACACTCTAACCAACTGAGCTACCCAGCCAGGACTAAGCTTTTTGTTTTTTGTTTTTTGTATGGAGGAAGAAATTTTGTAAAAGAGTGGACAGGTGTGATTCTGAGGAAATTCACCTGGATAAATACCCAGAGGCCTTACGAATTTTTTAGAAAAACTATGGAGGAGGAAAACCAAACACCATCGCAGACCTCTAGAGGAGAGTGCCTGGTTCAGCTGTGTAGAACTTGAAGCTGTGAAGAAGCTTCTTTCCCGGGATGAAACACAAAGAGCAGAGATGGAGGATCCAGTCATACTGCACCCCACCCTATTTCGGCCCAAGTGCAATGGAGTTCCAGGTAAACTTGTGTGCGAAGGATTCTGATTTGAAAACCTAATTCTTGTCCATCCTCTGTATTTGATATGTGAGATGGTGGAGGTCCCAAGAGTTAGAGGAACCAGCACAAATACCCTTCCCCTGACCACCAAGGGGGCTCTTTCCATTGCCCCTACACAAAAGTAGTAGCGCTGGGATTTCACTGACATATACTCTAGGCCTGACACCCTGAAGGCTCCAGGGCATGGGGGCTGGACTCATGGGGGTTTTGGGGGGTTCATGACACCAAAAAGTGTTTCAGCAAAAAAGCACATGCTTAGTAGCCTCCATCCAAGCCCTGTGGATGTACATGCAGCTGGGGATGGCTCCCAGGGTTTGCCCCCTGAGAGTGGCTGTGCTGGATCATCCTTCCCCACCCTCTGCTCTTGGGATGACCATGGCAGAGAGATCTGTCCTAGTGCTCGAGGCCCTGACAAAGGTCCACGCAGGCAGGTAGAATCAGGTCATCCAGCGGTCCCGGGCCTCTGGCTTCACCTTGAGGAGAACCTGACACTGGAGACAGAATGTTCTCCAGCGTCAAATGCCCAACACTTCGGAGGGCTGGGTTGGTCTACGGAGCTTACAGAGAAGCTCCAGAGAACCGAGACAGGAGGCTGCTGTTGGTATGCTACTGCGCGTTCAAAATTCAGTTATTAGTTTTAAGTCTAAAGATTTCCCTCAATATGTAATGTATATAAACATGTACAGAATGCACCAATGTAAACATACATGTCATTTATTCATGTTTATCAATAAATAGAATTTATCAATTAAAAAAAACAAGTCTACACAGGCTCCCACTTTTCTCAGAATACCTTTTCGGGAAGTGTATGAAAAAGTCTGCGTCGTAAAGCCAAGGGCGGTCCCCACGGAGATGAACTGGACTCAAGGATCCCAGTGCCTTCAGAGCTCAGGCTTCAGGTCAGTCACAGGCATAACTAACCACTTCACAAAGCTGAAGTTACAGCCGTCGTGAACACTCACAGCCCTCTGAAATTATGTAGTTAAGTTCCATGTTCTACGGGAGGGGCACACGTGTAGTTCACATGTTGGTTACAGGGAGGCTCAGTGCTTTGTGGCCTGGATGAGTGGCCCCACTTGTAATTCTACTTTATTAACAGTGTAAACAAAATTAAAGTGCTAGGAAAATAACCATATTAAACTATAGCTAATGATCACTTACACAGACTGCCAGATTAGCAAAATCTCAAAAGTTATCTGGTTCAGTATCTTAGCAGAGTCTGTGTGTAACTTCCTTGTCAGCTGCTCATTCATAATCTGGTCCACATTTGAGGACTGTTGTTTTTTTTTAAATAGAATTTATAAGATAGGGGTAATTTTGGTGACCCTTTTTCTCCAAATAAATGTTTCATGGCAAAAGACATTTGAATTTATTCCATGCTACTTTGAGTTACATGAAGTGTGGCTCATTCTTACCAGAATTAGTCCCCGTATCTCCCCACCCACTCCTTTATTCTAACAACAACACAATCCCATCAGATGAAGGTCTCGTGGCATATATATTTGCAATGTCATGTGGGCTGCACGACCCGGAGTAGCCAAACGAAGGACGGATGTGGAAGACTGGAGCCCCCAAAGGTGCTCCTGTGGTATGTTTTTCAATATAGAAAACTTATTCTTTACATTGGTTCGTCAAGAATTCTTCATTCTGGGGAGCTCAGAAGCATCCAAAGTAATAATAAACATACAGAATGGTATTTTATGATTCACAGGATGTTGTTTTTACAAAAATCGTTTATCGTCACAACGACTTTGTGATGTAGGCAGGAGAAGTTCTCCCAGAATCCAGAGGGGTCTGGCTAGTAGTTCAGGGTCACACAGTAAATCAGCCATTGATTCAGTGCATGTGCTCACGGAGGTGGTGGGCAGCGCGGCAGCCGTCGGAGCACCCAGTTTGGGTCTGACTGCCAGGTTCACAGCCTTGGGATTCAGAATCTTACTGCTCCCTCCTTTGCATTAGACAAGAATCAACCTTGAAAGGGTCCTAAGTCCCAATCTAGCAAGGACAGAGGACAGTGACTTGAAAGATCAAAGGGGTTTGGTCTAGCAAGAACCAAGGTGCAAGGCAGGACTTAAAATAGACTTTCTTCGTGTGTGATAAGAATGGATGCCCAGCTGAATCCGCTTCTTGGACCAGCGAGAGTCCCGGCCTCCCACAGAGCTTTTCACACGGTGCAGTATTCCTCAACAACACGCGGGAGTTCTGAAGAACATTCTCTTGAGAGGCTTTTTCCCTTTCCTAAGGCAGGACTTCCTCCTCAATAAAATTAAGTCTTCACAGGACAGACTTTTTTTTTTCATTTGGGCGGTTTGGGGGTGATCTCCTCTTCCTCATTCCAAAGTCCCTTTCCTGTCCAGTTCGATTCCGGGACTGAAGTAAACATCAACAGAAATGGTAACTGACACTTCTTAAGGAGCAGAAACAAAGTGAGTATACAAAGTCCTGAGATGCTATCAAATCACAGCCAAGATCAAAGTTAAAACCTCCCATGGCTCTGGGACGTGATGCCATTGCCTTCTTTGTGACATTCACTTTGGGGCAGTTGGCAGGAGCCATGGACTGAGCGTGGAATGAAAGACATCCAGGTGAATCCGAAGGGCAAAGCTGGCAAGGTCCAGGGTCTAGAAGGCCCAAAGGAGGTGGCTAGGTCCTTGGAAACAGACAAAACACAGGTGGGCCATGGCTTTTCGAGGTAGCAGACGGCTGTAACTGCATCCTGTTGTCCTAGAAACAGAGAGGAATCTCAGCGATCCCCTAGTCCAAACTTCAATGAACAGACATAGAGAGTGACGTCCAGGGATAGAAGGGTTGGGTCAAGATCTCACCGCCTATCAGGAACAGAGCCACGGCTGGAATGCGGGTCCTTCAGCTTCAAGTCAAGCACTGGTTTTCCACCTCCGGCACTGCTGGTCCTGCCTCCTCCATGGCAGGGGGCGGGGGGTGGCGGAACTGCAGTGAATGACAGGTCTCAGCAGTGTGAGCTCCCGACAGTTCTCTTCTTCAAGAGCAACACGACCAGAATCCAGGGTTACAAATTAGTGCCGTGGGCCACACCACGAGTTCATGGAAAAGATCCCAAAGTCTGTTAATAAGCACTACGGTACCACCGGTCCTGCCCAGGGCTCCTTAGGACAAGATGCTGCTCTAGTTCAAGAGCAAGGCAGATGTCTCAGAGCTGAGGCCACAGCACTAGGGGGCAGCTATCTGTCTTCGGCTTCCCTCCAAGGTCGCTGCAGAGACCTGTTTCCTCGGGCAGGTCTCTGCCCCAGTGTCTTCCATGATAAATAAGTGAGGCCTGTCCTGAAGAGAAGGACTGAAACCAGACATAAGGCAGAGGAGGTGGAATCTGTTGCTGACACGGGGGCTGGCCAGGAGGACACACGTTCGGACCCGGACACAGGGAGGCGAGTGTGCTAGTGTCTGGCACAGACCAAGATGGAATGAGACAGTGAGTAGTTAAAACACGCAAGACATGTGAGCTTTTGAACATGACTCTGACCAAGACAGGCACAAGGAGAATGTGTTCTGACAACACCTGTGAGCAGGCACAGAAAGGAAGGCATACTTAGCGACACCTAAGGCTGAGATAAGACACAGTGAGCAATCGTGTCTGGAACACGAGGGAAACTGACCAGGCACAGTGAAGAGACAACAGACAGTGTCAGGCAAGGATGAGAAGTCAGGAAGGAGGGCTGAGAAATAAAACAAATCCCATCATGGGAGGCGGGCGTCTCTGGAAGAGAATCCCCAGTGAACAAGGGGGCTGTGCTCTCCCCGGACTCCCTCAAACATCGCCTGCTGGCATCCCAGAGGAAAAGCGCGTGGGCATGGAAGGCCCGCCCCAAAGGACGGACGGACAAACGGATGGAACGCTCGAGTGAAAAGAATCCCAGGTGCAGTCATGCACGAGCAGCAGCTTAGGCAGGACCTGGCCCTCTCCTGGAGGGATGGCTGTCTTCTGAGTCACTGCCCCAGGGGACTAAGTGTCACAGGGCTGAGCAGCCACCAAAGGAGAAGTCGCTGGAGGGTGGCTCTGACTCTCCCACTGGCCACCACACTCCACTGCATCCCTGGAGAGGGGAGAAGACCAGAGAACCTCAGAGTTGCAATGGGCATCACAGAGGATCTCGTGAAAAGCCCACCCATGCAGAAAAGCCCCCATGGCATGCAGACAGGGGCTGGTTGGTCCCTGTGCAGGGATCTCCAGAGATTGACTAGGACATTTCATTTCTGAGCAATTTTACTGAAAGGGCTTGTTATTGTTATTAGAAAGCACTTATTAATGTTTACCCAAAATCTGTCTTCCGAGTGGCACTACTGTGCCCTGCAGGCCCACTTGAAATTCTTCCCTCTACTAATGGTATCCTCCAAGTTTTCTCTCTCTGGGCTACACATTTCTCTAATAGTTTATGGGATATTATGGCTTCTGGAATAGTCCCCATAATGAGCACGGTCCTCTGAACACAATGCTTATTTTATGATTGTCTCTCTTAAAACAGAGCACCGGGAAAGAGTGCAAACCTACACAGTGAACCTCACAGGTCATTCACTTTTCATCATCAGTTTAGGTGACTTCAGTGAACGTTCATTAAGTTCATTTCTCACTATGGTCATACACTATCAGCTTGTATTGAGTTTGTTGTCAGCTTGTATGCTTTTGATACAAACAGTTGTCAATTCCTGTGGTTCTTTATCACATTGGTGCAGTTTATTGTTGTGCTTGTTTGAGTCAAAATATAGGACATTACCCTGGTCTCAGTTAAATTTCATTTCATTGATCTGGTATCATTTTAGCTCACTGAGATCATTTGAAATAATAATAACAATTTCCTCATTCAAGATGTGATTCGTTAGCATTGACTCAAACTAGACTATAAGGATTTTACAAGCACACAGAAAGGTCAGGTAGTTTATTGCTAACTAGACCTTTCAGTTTAGTGTCAGGACAGGGCCGACACAGAGAACTGTGGCACACCACCACAGGCGACCTTCACAGCAAACAGGTGACATTCAGTGCCCCTGAGAATGGGCCCACCCGTGGCAGGCTGTGTCCAATGCCTTGCCGAAATGTCTCTGCCAAGTAGTAAATGAATGTGTCCTAATAGATAATGAAATTAGTTGGCATGCTTTATGTATTTACTTAACTTATTTTCCATCACCATTTATCCCCCTTATACCCTCTCCCACCTCCACCCACCCCCTCCCCTCACCCTGCCATCGCCACACTGCTGTCCATGTTCATGAGGGTATGATTTACTTTTAATGAAATGACACTGACTCTTGTTCTCAAATGATCTGTGTTATAAGTGTCTTAGAATTTGGGTAAGGTCTACTTCAGGCTACGAGTGTATAGTGTCCCGAGTCTAGCTTTAGTATTTCTTTAACAACTGGGTCAACATTTACTGGTCTCCAGGCTGCCATCGTTTCTTCAGTCCCCCAAAGAGCGCCGTAGAGGTCCTATCAGCTGGTTCCTTTAGTCCCCTGCGCTATGGCCCGTCTTGGCTCAGAGGCAGTAAAATGTTCTCCTTGACCCTGGACAGCAATTTTCTCCCTATAATGTTCTCTCATTTCCAGTTGGAAGACTATTCTTATTAAAGCAGAGTATACAAGATTTCTTCCCTAACTAATGAGACCTAGCTATTCCTGGATTTGCGACTTGCTCTGAACATAGCTTTTGATTCATCTTTGGTTATACATTCCCTCTTCCAGATTTTCTGCTTATCACTTTCAAGTATAAATTCACTACATAATTCAAGATGTGGTCACACGCCTTTACACACCTCCCCCAACACGTTTATCTGTCTCGTTCATTGAACATACCTATTTTTTTTAAAAAAAGAATGAATAGAAAGGAAGGAAGGAGGGGTTTCTCACTTCTCATTAGCCAAATTCCCTTTGTATAGTACTTGTTTATTATCATTATTATCAACAATAAAACAACCACCCACTAGGGCAGCCCCTGTGTGTTATGCATTAATTCATGTATTTTACACTTCTTTAACACACAAGGAAACTGAATTTCAGAGCACTTGCCCAAGTTTACTCAATAAATGTCAAGATCAGGCCTTCCATTTAGGTCATTTTTGATACTAAATTCTGTGCTCTTACTTGTCCTGATATACCGTTACTGGTCATCTTGAGAACTGCCCCTCCTAAGTCCAGCGCTGCTGTCTCTAACATTTTCTTGTCCCCCTGTGATGGACTCCGAGGTAAAAGGAGTATGTACAGGGACACAGAGTTTATCTATTCCACCCATGGGAAGTCTACAGTGTGAAGTGGCCCCCATTTTACTGAAACACAGCGTGACTGAGAGGTTAACACAGGGCTCTCCTGCTAACCCCTCTTGCCCATTAAAGAGGCGTGTGAGTTTTCTGTGATGCAGGCTTGGGGAGGCTAGGTGACATGGAAAAAAACCTGCAAAGGCAGGAGGAAACTATGGAGGACAAAGTCAGAGAAAAAGGCTGGGTTAATAAACATAGCAAAGAATGGGGAGAGAGGATGGAAGACCAGGCAGGAAGAGCCACAGAGCTGGTGTCTGGGAAGGCACCAGAGCTGTTGGAAGAATGGAGAAGGTCCTTGAGAAGTGTTTCCGAAAGGTTATATTGCCAGGGGGCAGGTAGAAGAGGGTAAAGGGGGGATAAATGCAGACAGAAGGAGACTTGAATTTGGGTGGTGAACGCACAACCCAGTAGACAGATGATGTGTTGTAGAACTGTACACTTGAAACCTATGTAATTTTATTAACTATTGTCACTCTAATAAACTCAATAAACTTTTTAAAACGTTTATGCTTGATAAATAAGCAAAAATAAATATAATGAAGGCTTTTCACTATCTACAAAACAAAAAAAGATCGAGATTACTGTGGACTTGCTAATAGATGCCCAGTATCACTTCTTTTCATTCAGGACACATCAATATAGCCCTCTCCAAAGACAGAAAGAAAGACAATGGCCCAACCTCTAACCCTATGGAGAACTCTCAACCAACTCCCTGTAGGCAGGGCAAATGGGGAACTTGAGAATAATGACAGAATGATCTTGTGTGTTGGCTGGCCTGTGTCACTGTCAGTTTACACTATTGTACTAACCTAATTGTTAACACTTCACAGTTTAATGTCATCTACCTTTTAGTTTTTCATTTAAGATACAAAAATTATGGCCAAATATGCGGCACCTCAAGAGACCTCTTTCCAGTACAAAAGATCACACTCAGCGCACATGGCCTTAACATCGAGTGAACCACTTTCAACTCCAAGGTCACCATACTAACTCAGCAAAGGAAGCAGCTGAGTGCAGCAAGGTGAGCAGTCAACCAGGAGACCAGGACCTGTGTTCTAATGCCTTGTTAGCCTCCCTCCATATGTGACTCGATGACTTAGTCCCTTTGCTGTGCCTCACTTTCCCATCTTTTAAATGAGGAGGAGGATTATCTATAAGATCCTTTGCAGCTCTGACATTCTGATTGTGTGAGTAGCAGAGATGGTGGGTGACAGATGCAGACCTTCTGATTGGGCACCAGCTGTGTGTGGGACTGTTCTCCAAAGCTGTGGGTAATTGCTTCAAATTTGGCTTTTAATATTCTATTGTTAGTATCTGATGCTTTATATTCTGTGTGGAGGGAGAGGTTTCACTGGAAACACAAGGGGGTGTAATTTTTGGATTTGTGTTAAAGAATCTGAAAGACCTCAATTTCTGAATCTGTGAAATTACATTGCAAAGCTGTTAAATGTATCTGAGCAGGATAGGCTAGGGAAGGGCTGAGATGCCACAACTTAAAATGCAGCGAAATCACAACTGCCTCTCCTTAAACATATGCTGCATCAGAAACATTGGCAGAGTTGCTCAAAATCTCTGATGCAAAATACCATTAAAAAAGAATCTCCAATATTTTAACAGAAGCATTTCTAAATAGTTTTTTGTTGTAATAGTTTTGTGAAAATCCTCTACAATTTAGGAAGCATTTGTATATCTTTTCCCACATTTAATCTTCAACACAAATCTGTAAGGAAGGAAGATACAGGGTATTGTTTTAATTTTAGAAGAGGAAGTAGGTCGGTGTACGGGCATGGATGGACTGATGGGTAGTGCGGATCCAGTGCTATGAATCAGGCATGCTGCCTTCCAATCCTGGAATTCTGTCCATGGGAAACATGGAAATTATTTGTGTGGTGAGAAGAGTTTGGGGATGAAGTTTAATACTAACAGTTGAGGGAATCAACTTATCACTATCTAACTTCCGTGTTCCAGAAGAGGAAGGAGGAGGAGGAGGGGGAGGAGTTGGCCGAGGATGAGAAGGAGTTGGAGGGAAAGAAACTCTGGCTGTTAAGTCATCTTTCACAGAGTGGCCCAGAGACTATGTGCACCAGAATTATCGTGGGCAGCTGCAATGAACACAGATTCCCGGGATCCACACCAGACCTCTGACAGCTGGCTGAGAGAGCAGAGGTGAAGTAGGAAGAGCAGACATTTGCATTTTTATAAGGTGTTCTCAGGTGATTCTTCTGCCCATGAGGGGATGATGTTCCATGAATAGGTGAACATCCAGGTACTCTACTCATCCCCGAGGCAGAGCTTAGACCCTGAGACTCCTGGTGGGCAGCAAAGAGAAAATACAGGAGTGGGAAAGGCCAGAGCTGGCAGTATGAGGCTCTCAGTGATGCTCCGCAAGGGATCAGAATGAAATCATGGAAATGCACGCAGTTTAACAAAGTGGAAGAGGGGGTATGTACTGGTTTTCATGACATTGATGAAGAAATGAGAAAAGACCCATTGACGAATCATGAATATGAGAAAGCAAAAAATGTAAAATGCATAAGCAATATATTTTAGGTATTCTTTATGTGGTGAAAAAAATGGAATGTTTGGGTACAATGAGCTGATATAAATTAATCAAATTGCCTGTAAACAGTGAGCACACACTAAGTTATCAGTAGTAAGTTACCTTACTCAAAAGGCAATGCCTCAGGTCAGTATCTTTATTCGACTTTAGATTCACTGTCAACTGGAATAGAATACTGACTCTGGAAGACCCAGTATTTCCCAAGCATGGGATGTGTTCCATGGGTGAT